ACAACCACAAAAAATAATAATGGTAATGATAAAAGTAACATTTATAATAATAACAACAATAATAATGAAAATATATGTATGTGTATCGTCAGATTCATTCAATATTAGGAAAAAGTAATTCCTTTGTTAGAGCACTTAAGCAATTGATTTCATCTGATGTTCACCACGTGCTTTTGTTTACTAATTTATAGCAATACAAATTTTTTTTTAATAAGTGTTATTTCTAAAAGGATTTCCCATCATGACTAATTATTGTACATGCTTAGTTAGTCGCATTTTCATATTTAATTGGTAATGAACTTCCATTTCTTCACTGTGCAGCTTATAAGTCATTGTTCTCACACACATTTGCTTTAGGGTATTTATGAGCTGCATTTACCAATTGATTTTTTTTTTTTGTGCCTATATTATCTGTTTTAATAGTGTTTTAAATTGTGGCTTCATATTACGAAAAGGAGCTTTGTATTCCTCAATGCTTTGCTCTATAAAAATTCATGCTTGTGTTCATTTGCTTCATTATTTGAATTAATGTCTATGAAATATTTTATATATTTATACCTATATGTGGATTTATCATTCTCAAATGGTTAATAGTTAAGACAAATAAGTGTGCTGGACATCAAAGGTCATATTAGCACTGGTATTATGGCGAAATGGGTAAAAATGTGTTAACAATTAGGATAAGTGGACAGAAGAAGGGGATGAAGAGAAGGAAAAGGACAGCCCCCTCCCCCCCCCAAAAAAAAAGGAGCAAAGGATTTTTTTTTTGGGGGGGATCATTATCAAATCTGAAGTATAATTATATAATGCAAAATCTCCTTACATGAGGAAGGAGGAACAGTTAGTTTAATGGATGGATGGATGGAAGAAAAAAAAAGAAAAAGACACAAGTAAGAGTAGAATGAAAGGAGGATAAAGACACATAAATTCAAATAATCTTTATTGAACAATAAAAGCACTTACTGATCATTTATGAACCAATGTAAAGAATGGCAGTAAAAAGTGGAGGGACACGAAATGCTAGCATTCCTCATGGTACAAAATATAATGAAAAATAAATGTATAAAAGTTAATCTTACAACCAACAATTAAAACTTGATCAATAGTCACAGTGAGAAAAGAATACATGAACAATAAATTACATTTCCTTGTACATAATGAAATTTATTGCTACTAAGACTCAACCCATTCAAAACAAACTAGAATGGAATACTTCCAAATATACAGGAATGAATGCTAGGCAAAGTCATCTTGCCTACATGGAAATGCGAAAATTAAAATAATGGAAAAACATGATTTGAACCATTGTTTATTGATTAGGTTACTTATAACTGGTCTTTAATCTTGTTATAATTAACAAATAAATGTAACATGACACTAGAACTTTGTTTGCATGCCAATTTTTCTCTTCTTTCTGCATTGGATCCTAAATTACTGCTCAAGTAAACCAGAATAAAACAAAGTTTTCTGTACACATGGATAAGACCTAAGACATCCAATACATTTTTAAGGCTACATTCAACACAACATCCATTAAAATCAAAAGAAAACAGAAACAGAAGAGAAAAATGGCCAAATATGTAGATACTCAGACTGGTCAAATGTGCATATGCATGATGTGTATGTGTAAGTGAATGAGAGAATATAAATCAGACTTAATTGTAATCATGGTTACTTGGGAGTTCTTTTTTTTTTTTTTTTGGTCTATGTTATTCTGCTCAGCTCTTTTAGAAACACAGGTGATATATGACCAATTTATGAACAACTATTTGTTGTGTGAATGATAAAAGTTCAGAACTCTCCTATAAGATATCATTATGGTCTTTACAATGAATGTAGTGTGGAGACCCAATAATCGTATAATTTATTTTTCTTCTTAAAAAAAAAAAGGAAAAAAAGACTGCTCTCATACAACAATGACAATTTGTTACATTCTTCATCACAACAGTTTCAAACAAATAAAACCTATTGCTTTCCTGTGTACTTGCTTTTGCAACCTTGTTACCAATTGTGAAGTGGCATTCAAGGCTTTCTGTATTTTTTATACAGAAGCTATTTGAATAAACTTTTATCTACCGAGCCTTACAATAGACTTCAGCTTCAAATCTACACGATAATATTTAGTGTCATAACTGGCAGGAAAATCACGAAAACCTATGCTGTAAAACTTGCTTGCAGGAAATGTAATCTATATCTACAGTATATATATATATATATTGATAAATTTATTTGAATCTACTAAAAAGGCAATCCTGATTATCTTCATTGTGTTGATTTCTACCAAACCAACTTGTGTCATTACAAAATGACAATAATATGGGCCATTCTTACTCCAGCCTTCTTTGTCGCTGAGCCTGCGCACCTAGGCACGAAAACAAAGGGCAAGATACGCAGGACTGTAGTAACAGGCAACTCAACAAGGATTTACTTATGGCACTAGCTACCACAAGAACCAGGAGTTGTTTGCTGATATGATCAATAGCCAACTTATTGAACTTTTAATTGTACTCTCCCCACTTATGAATATGTATGTACAAAATCACCTGTAGATACACATACACCTACAAACTACAAAGTTTAGTTGTTGTTGCTGTTTTTTTTCTGTTTTTTTTTTTTGATTTAGGTAAATTCTTAGTCTAAAAGAACATTCTTCCATTCGCATTTGGTCATCCACTAATGCACTGATAGAGAGAAAAAAAAAGTAATAATAATAATCCAATCCTACTATCACACTAAATATCATACAACTCAATATAACAGCACAGCCCCACTCTAATTCATGTCCATGTCAACTGCATTACTGACTCTAAAACTGCAATGTGTCCTGTCTAAAGCAAGTACGGATGAAGTGAAAGGTGTTTGAAGGGGTCATCACAGATATATTTTCTCTTTTTTCATGAAGAAATCCTAATCCTTATAAAAAAGGTTAGAAAGATAGAAGGAGACAATGAGTATGAGAAAGGGGGGAAAAAAAAGGGAAGGAGGGAAGGAGAGATATAAAGTGATAGCGAGAGAGAGAGAGAGAGAGAGAGAGAGAGAGAGAGAGAGAGAGAGAGAGAGAGAGAGAGAGAGAGAGAGAGAGAGAGAGAGAGAGAGAGAGAGAGTGTGTGTGTGTGTGTGTGTGTGTGTGTGTGTGTGTGTGTGTGTGTGTGTGTGTGTGTGTGTGTGTTTTCAACATTTTAATAGTCTAGCATATATATATATTTCTCATTATGAAAGTTCAACCCACAAATTAACCCAAAACATCCCAATAGTAGAACATATTTAGAGACCTTAACCTTAGCTGGTTTTTCTTCACACCACCCTACTTAAGCCTTTCAGGTCGTACATTGTGGGGTCTACATCACAGCTCTTCCAACCCACAAAAATGCATAACAAATGGTTAATGTGCACAGATTAAAGACAGATCTACAAACTTTTATCATTACTACTTGAAGCACTAGTCTTCCATTCGTTTTCCTCTTTTATTGTATTTCTCTTTCCTCAAAATCTTTGTCCAATGAATGCCTCATGGTTGTTTCTGGTATCCCAAGTCTAGTTAGGCGTTCATGAGCCCAGGAAAGTCTGTCCTTTACTATACTATACTCCACTATACCTATACAATACTTTTAATAAATCAAGTTCATGGAAACCAACATGTCTATTGTAAGAGTATAGTATAGTATAGTATAGTATATAGTATAATTATAGTATATTTTCATTAGTCTGTGTGAACGTGTAAAACCAAATGTAAAGCACAATTTTCCATATACTCTCGCCCCTCCAGTTTTCATTGGGGGGGGGGGGGGAGCTCGCCCCTCTGCCCCCCCCCCCGCGCTTCCGCCGCCTATGTATATTTAAATTTAATACACACACACACACACACACACACACACACACACACACACACACACACACACACACACACACACACACACACACACACACACACACACACACACACACACACACACACACACACCCTGAGTATCCGGGCAGGCGAAGGTGGCACTGCCAATGATAATATTAATAACAATAATAATGATAATGATGATAATGGTAATAATGATAATGATAATAATAATAACATGGACAACCACAAAAAATAATAATGGTAATGATAAAAGTAACATTTATAATAATAATAAAAATAATAATGAAAATATATGTATGTGTATCGTCAGATTCATTCAATATTAGGAAAAAGTAATTCCTTTGTTAGAGCACTTAAGCAATTGATTTCATCTGATGTTCACCACGTGCTTTTGTTTACTAATTTATAGCAATACAAATTTTTTTTTAATAAGTGTTATTTCTAAAAGGATTTCCCATCATGACTAATTATTGTACATGCTTAGTTAGTCGCATTTTCATATTTAATTGGTAATGAACTTCCATTTCTTCACTGTGCAGCTTATAAGTCATTGTTCTCACACACATTTGCTTTAGGGTATTTATGAGCTGCATTTACCAATTGATTTTTTCTTTTGTGCCTATATTATCTGTTTTAATAGTGTTTTAAATTGTGGCTTCATATTACGAAGAGGAGCTTTGTATTCCTCAATGCTTTGCTCTATAAAAATTCATACTTGTGTTCATTTGCTTCATTATTTGAATTAATGTCTATGAAATATTTTATATATTTATACCTATATGTGGATTTATCATTCTCAAATGGTTAATAGTTAAGACAAATAAGTGTGCTGGACATCAAAGGTCATATTAGCACTGGTATTATGGCGAAATGGGTAAAAATGTGTTAACAATTAGGATAAGTGGACAGAAGAAGGGGATGATGAGAAGGAAAAAGACAGCCCCCTCCCCCCCCCCAAAAAAAAAAAGGAGCAAAGGATTTTTTTGGGGGGAGGGATCATTATCAAATCTGAAGTATAATTATATAATGCAAAATCTCCTTACATGAGGAAGGAGGAACAGTTAGTTTAATGGATGGATGGATGGAAGAAAAAAAAAGAAAAAGACACAAGTAAGAGTAGAATGAAAGGAGGATAAAGACACATAAATTCAAATAATCTTTATTGAACAATAAAAGCACTTACTGATCATTTATGAACCAATGTAAAGAATGGCAGTAAAAAGTGGAGGGACACGAAATGCTAGCATTCCTCATGGTACAAAATATAATGAAAAATAAATGTATAAAAGTTAATCTTACAACCAACAATTAAAACTTGATCAATAGTCACAGTGAGAAAAGAATACATGAACAATAAATTACATTTCCTTGTACATAATGAAATTTATTGCTACTAAGACTCAACCCATTCAAAACAAACTAGAATGGAATACTTCCAAATATACAGGAATGAATGCTAGGCAAAGTCATCTTGCCTACATGGAAATGCGAAAATTAAAATAATGGAAAAACATGATTTGAACCATTGTTTATTGATTAGGTTACTTATAACTGGTCTTTAATCTTGTTATAATTAACAAATAAATGTAACATGACACTTTAGAACTTTGTTTGCATGCCAATTTTTCTCTTCTTTCTGCATTGGATCCTAAATTACTGCTCAAGTAAACCAGAATAAAACAAAGTTTTCTGTACACATGGATAAGACCTATGACATCCAATACATTTTTAAGGCTACATTCAACACAACATCCATTAAAATCAAAAGAAAACAGAAACAGAAGAGAAAAATGGCCAAATATGTAGATACTCAGACTGGTCAAATGTGCATATGCATGATGTGTATGTGTAAGTGAATGAGAGAATATAAATCAGACTTAATTGTAATCATGGTTACTTGGGAGTTCTTTTTTTTTTTTTTTGGTCTATGTTATTCTGCTCAGCTCTTTTAGAAACACAGGTGATATATGACCAATTTATGAACAACTATTTGTTGTGTGAATGATAAAAGTTCAGAACTCTCCTATAAGATATCATTATGGTCTTTACAATGAATGTAGTGTGGAGACCCAATAATCGTATAATTTATTTTTCTTCTTAAAAAAAAAAAGGAAAAAAAGACTGCTCTCATACAACAATGACAATTTGTTACATTCTTCATCACAACAGTTTCAAACAAATAAAACCTATTGCTTTCCTGTGTACTTGCTTTTGCAACCTTGTTACCAATTGTGAAGTGGCATTCAAGGCTTTCTGTATTTTTTATACAGAAGCTATTTGAATAAACTTTTATCTACCGAGCCTTACAATAGACTTCAGCTTCAAATCTACACTGATAATATTTAGTGTCATAACTGGCAGGAAAATCACGAAAACCTATGCTGTAAAACTTGCTTGCAGGAAATGTAATCTATATCTACAGTATATATATATATATATTGATAAATTTATTTGAATCTACTAAAAAGGCAATCCTGATTATCTTCATTGTGTTGATTTCTACCAAACCAACTTGTGTCATTACAAAATGACAATAATATGGGCCATTCTTACTCCAGCCTTCTTTGTCGCTGAGCCTGCGCACCTAGGCACGAAAACAAAGGGCAAGATACGCAGGACTGTAGTAACAGGCAACTCAACAAGGATTTACTTATGGCACTAGCTACCACAAGAACCAGGAGTTGTTTGCTGATATGATCAATAGCCAACTTATTGAACTTTTAATTGTACTCTCCCCACTTATGAATATGTATGTACAAAATCACCTGTAGATACACATACACCTACAAACTACAAAGTTTAGTTGTTGTTGCTGTTTTTTTTCTGTTTTTTTTTTTTTTTTTTGATTTAGGTAAATTCTTAGTCTAAAAGAACATTCTTCCATTCGCATTTGGTCATCCACTAATGCACTGATAGAGAGAAAAAAAAAGTAATAATAATAATCCAATCCTACTATCACACTAAATATCATACAACTCAATATAACAGCACAGCCCCACTCTAATTCATGTCCATGTCAACTGCATTACTGACTCTAAAACTGCAATGTGTCCTGTCTAAAGCAAGTACGGATGAAGTGAAAGGTGTTTGAAGGGGTCATCACAGATATATTTTCTCTTTTTTCATGAAGAAATCCTAATCCTTATAAAAAAGGTTAGAAAGATAGAAGGAGACAATGAGTATGAGAAAGGGGGGAAAAAAAAGGGAAGGAGGGAAGGAGAGATATGAAGTGATAGCGAGAGAGAGAGAGAGAGAGAGAGAGAGAGAGAGAGAGAGAGAGAGAGAGAGAGAGAGAGAGAGAGAGAGAGAGAGAGAGAGAGTGTGTGTGTGTGTGTGTGTGTGTGTGTGTGTGTGTGTGTGTGTGTGTGTGTGTGTGTGTGTGTGTGTGTGTGTGTTTTCAACATTTTAATAGTCTAGCATATATATATATTTCTCATTATGAAAGTTCAACCCACAAATTAACCCAAAACATCCCAATAGTAGAACATATTTAGAGACCTTAACCTTAGCTGGTTTTTCTTCACACCACCCTACTTAAGCCTTTCAGGTCGTACATTGTGGGGTCTACATCACAGCTCTTCCAACCCACAAAAATGCATAACAAATGGTTAATGTGCACAGATTAAAGACAGATCTACAAACTTTTATCATTACTACTTGAAGCACTAGTCTTCCATTCGTTTTCCTCTTTTATTGTATTTCTCTTTCCTCAAAATCTTTGTCCAATGAATGCCTCATGGTTGTTTCTGGTATCCCAAGTCTTAACTAGTTAAGACAACATCAGCATTGCTAAGCTAATTATGTTCAAGGCAAGGAGGCTCCCCAGCATGAAGCAGCAAATTGTACATACCACCAACAGGACCCCAAGGTTCCTCCCACAGTTTATGCAACACATCTTCAGCATCTTTTTTCAAGAGTGATGAAACCAGTTCAACACACTGTTTGTCAACCCAGTAGCTCTGCTTCCTGTTGTTGTAAGTACTAACATCATCACAGCTGTTGTAACTCTCACTTAACTCACTGCTAATCCCACTGTTGTTTGGCCCATAACCATGTGCAAAGTTGGACCTCATCCGGGAACCCCTAAACCTTGAAGCATAACCTAGGTCTTCCTCTGAGTCTGTGCTTGAGTTCTTGAATTCACTTGCCTTGCTGTTGTTTTTCCTTTCATTGGAGTTCTTGTTCTTGAAAAGGTACCCTTCTTTACGCTTTTGAAGGTCAGTATATGGAATATTGAACCAGATATAGTCTAGGAGATTTGGCAGATTCCACCTTGTCTTGGGGTTGGTGTCCATCATGGCATGCAGCACAACACCTGCCTGCCGTGACAAAGTGTCTATTGCATCCTCATGATGCAGCTGGAGGCCATAGACTGCAGTGGTGCCCCGTCTTCCATTGCGCTTGTATTCAATAAAGGGAGTCTCTCCAATAAGGGTAAAGTAGAGAGAGGCTCCCAGGCTGAACACATCTATCTCAGGGCCATAATTGTGTGCTGACAAGGTAAGTTCTGGGGCTAAATAATTGACAGTCCCAGCACATGTACGTGCTGTATTGAGGGGAGATGAAGGTTCCCATGCCATGGCCAAGCCCAAGTCAATGAGTTTTGCAACTGGGGCGACATATTTTGTGCCAGGAATCACCATTATGTTCTCTGGCTTTACATCACGATGTAATATGCCTTGACTGTGCAAGTGGTGTAAGCCAGCTGCCACTTGCCGAAATACTGTCGATGCAAAGGATTCACTAAGTCCAGTGTTTTTGCTCTCAAAGCGCTGTAATACCAATGTGGCAAGGTTTGTGTCTCCAAGATCTTCTAAGCACACGTACACACCAGAAGGACCACGTACGACCTCCATCAGCGCCACAATGGATGGGTGCGAGATTCGAGCCAGGAGAGCTGCTTCATTCTCCAATGCAGCTCGGCACTTTGTCACTTCCACATGCTGGCAGTCTTTGTGTTCCCCAGCCTCACCACCACAACTGATGCCATCAACTGCCCATGGCTGGTGCTTCACTGCGACCGGCCGTCCGATGATGTGGTGGGTGGCTCGTGACACCCAACCAAACCTCCCGCGCCCCAGCACCACACCCATATGATAATGGCCTACGAGAACCATTCCAGACAAATAACGCAATCTTTTCCAACATCAATCAGTAACCTAGACTTAAACTGAAGTCTTCTTATAGCTTACATATCCAAAAAGCAAACTAACATAAAACATCTAATCAAAAGATGCTTAAAAACAGTTATCAATCTTTTCTTTAACCTTATATCATCTCTTTTAGATGGAATTATGTTTGAAAATTGTAATGCTAGACTTGGGACTCTGTTTCACAGTATAAACACACTAATACACACAAGAGCTTCTGAATAAAAATTTAGATCTAATAAATGTCCAATGAGCCATATATGTTGAGACAGGATTTTTTCACATACATGGTTTACCAATAGGAAGTCAAAATAGTTTCTTTGTCTTGTATAAACAGTATGACCAGACTACTATCACCTACCTATAACCTACTTTGCAGTCCTGCGTCTCAGTTATATAGAATATTGCTAAACAAGCTTTTATTGTCTTCTCAAAATGAGAGACAGGTCTAATTATTTAGCAAAAAGTCTTAACTAACCACTAAAAAAGGAGACTTCCAAGCCTCTAGTGAAGCTACTAAACACCTCGTTCGGTCTGTGTATCACAAGAGTTGGGTTATTTCCACTGGGGGAAACTTACAATTAACAGTCAGTCAGTCACACTTGAAAAGGAAAAGGTCACCTTCCCCCCTAAATAAAACCTTTTCAAGGAAACTCTTTAACAAAGAAACCTTAGGTCATTATCATCATCATCATCCTTATAAATAATCAAAATAAATATATGAAATAATTATGACTGAAAATGAAAACAAATAAATGAAAATGATACTGTAATGGCTTATGTTCACAGGTACAACAAATTCATCCCCTGTCCACTTTGCACATTAGTAGGGAGGGATATCTCCAACAATTATCACAGTTGAATTAATGCGTAGCAGTTGCCAAACTCTGAGACAATCTAGGCTGCTGGCTCTATACTCCACATTCAACTTGTTTCCTTATTGAAAATTTTTGGTTCCTTCTAGATGGTGCTATTTCATCATCATCATTATTGTCAA